GGGTGCTAGCTGTGCTTCAGGCATCTTCTGTCTTCATTTCCAAGTTCAATAGCAAAGGGGTCCCTCTAGGGGCCCTGCCTCTGAGAATGTTGGGGAGCAGCTCCACTGGGGGCTGGCACAGAACCAAGGATGGCACATAAAAGACAGCCAGCCGTAGTCATAACCTGGGCTGAGAGGTAGGGCTGGGTGTCCTCAAAGCCCCAGGCAGGCTGGCAAGGAGGGTGGGGTGGGAGTTAGGGAGGCGTGGGGAGGAGGGGCCTGGGCGTCACTTGGCAAGGAGCACCAGCCTGTCAAAGCCTGCTACACCATCTCACCAGACTCCCTTCCGAGCCCAGGGCCCAGGCAAGCCCCTCACTCTCCCAGTGGGCAAAGTAGGCATTTGGGGAATGGGCAAGGAAGGCAGGCTGAAGCCTGTCCAGTAGAGGGAAACAGCACTCTCCTCACCTGCCCAAGAAAATGCCCCTCAGAATGTCTGCCACAGGGGAGGAAAGAGGGAGAAAGGCACTGAGGAAAGGGGCCAGGCTGTTTCCTCTTGTTGGGAGAAAGTGCTAGAAGGAGAATGAACAGGCGCACTCTCCCTCTTCCTCCCTCTCCCTCCCTCTCTCTCTCAGAACACTGGGCAGATAGGATGGTGGGGGAGGGGGAGGGAAGGGCATAGGTGATCTCTCCGTCTCAGTCTCTTTTCCTGCAGACTCAACTCCCAGGCCAGCTGCTCACCCTGTCTGAAGGCTCACTGCCCCCAGACCTTGCCCTGCTCCACCTCTGCTCCATCCTGACTCGGCCCTCCACACTGAGCAACTGGAAGCCTCAGAAAATGACCAACATTCAATCAACTCTTTCTCCCTGGCCATGAGGTCTGAGTGTCTCTGGCCTGCTTCACTCCTACAGGAGGGCAAACACCAAAAAACACCCCAGCCAGCCCCAAAGCCATTGCACCACCACAGCAGCCACCATAGAGGCCGTTTCCACACAGAGCTGGCCTCTCTGCCACCCACTCCCTCTCCCTGCTGTGGGCAACGGGAGGCCTGAGCAAGCCGGGGAGCCAGTGTCCACACTGCCCCTCGACACACCAAAACCACAAGTCCGGGCCAGGGATGACCTGGAGACCTGGGACACATCGTCTCTCCCAAAGGAAGCTTGAGGCTCCAGGCTGCATTTTGTCGCTAAGTCTAGAACCATTATCCTGGAGTTGGCTCCATCCCACTGCTGCCACCACATGTCCTCATGAAACCAATTCCTGACCCAGTGAAGCCATCAGACCCCCTGACAGAGGAAGCCAAGAGCCCCAAACCAAGAAAATGGGCAAGAAGAGGAAGTAATAAAGTCATGGCCACTTACTTTTCTTGCCTTGCTCTCTCTTTCTTTGGTCTGCAGTGGGAAAAGGAAAGGACAAAACAGAAGGATTCAGATGGTGGTCACAGTGATACAACAATAACAATACTACTAATAAAAACTTAACAAAGAATTTATGACATATCAATAGAGTTTTAACCTCTTTAAATATAACCCACTTAATCCTTACAACAATGCTACGAGGTACATACTCTTATTGTACCCATTTTACAGATGTGGAAACTGAGGTACACTGAAGTAAAATTGAAATGCCCAAGGTTACACAGTTGGGAAGTGGAAACGGGCTAACAAGAGGAACGTGCTTAACCCTGGCACAGAGCAGGCAGCCGTTTGCTGAATGAATGAATCGTGACTCTGTTCTCACCTGCATTCACATTTGCTGTGCTGTAGGAAGCTCATCTCTCCTATGTGCTGGACTTTGTGAATTCTGATCCGCATAATCTAGAGAAGGAAGCACATCACAGAGGTTAGTGACCCAGCCAGCCATACCCAGATGGGACACCCCTGTGGCTCCAGCCACTCAGCACCCAGGGGTTCTACAGTGATGGGTGGTGGAGGTAGGAGGACCAGGGGCTCTACCAGAAAGAGCCTCAGGCCCATCCCAACTCCCCCAACCCTGCTGACCTCAAGGAGCCCCTGCTCTTCTTGAGGCAGACATGGCTGCAAGGGTTGGCCAGGCTGGGAATTCAGATCCTAGGTTCTTGCCACTCCCATCCCTCCCCTCCTTTCTTCCCTTTAGGCCTCACCCTGACCCCTAGTAGCAACCCAAGAGCCCCCCACCCTGGATTCTCAGAGTTCCCTTCCTCCCACCCTACCCAGGCTAAGATGGACCCTGTCACCAGATAGCACCAAACAACCGGCTTTAAAACTCTCCACAAACCACACTCATCCAGCTTCCCAAACAGAGCCCCAAAGAGGGAGGGAGGGCAAGACAGACTCCTGTCACAGGTGGCACCCTCCTCCTGAACCCAGGGGCAAAGGTCAGGGAGGGGGAGGAGGACGTGGTTGGAGCTTGCTGGGAACTTGGACTGGGAAATGCAGGCACCTTTTTCCCCAGAGGCCAGACCTGCCACACCTCCCCTGACTGACTCAGGGGCAGGCGCTGGACAAGGCAGGTCTGGCTCCTCCTCTCAAGTGCCCTCCTGGCCCTACTCCCCACAGGTACCCACCTGCATGGTGACGTTGTACTCCTCAGTGGGCACACACTCCAGGCCCTCGTCATTACAGCAGCCCCCACATCGCATCAGGGGCACACAGGATGGCTTGAAGATGTACTCAATCTCATCGGGGTACTCCTGGAAGATGTCCACCAGGGTCTCGATTGGACGGCAGTAGCTGCGCTGGTAGACATCCATGAACTTCACCACTGCACGGGGGGGTGTGACACATGAGCCCAGCAGGTGACACAAAAGATGGCCAACCCCTATCTTTACCCAGGTCTGTAAGGCCACTCCTCAGCATTTCTGTGAGAGGTACCCACTAATGGGAAAGTCCTCCTACAAATCTAACTTAAGTCCCTCCAGCTGTGGTTGAAGTCCTTCCCCCAAGCTTTCTATCAACACTGATAAACACCTGTTTTTATGCCAAAGATCACAGGATGCTGTCGAATCCCAAGGGAGATGGCCTGCCATATCTGATCCCCCTGCCTCAGAATGACAGCCAAGCCAATTCCAGAGGACACTTTCTGTAGAATTATACCCACTGGGGGTGCTGTAAGCATCCCGTGAAAAAAGGAACAGCCAGCTTAGCCAACCTACTCCCCATTTCTGTAGAACCTCTCCACAGCCACTGCCATACCCTACCAACCTACCAACAATCATTTAATAAGCACTCACTATACGCTAGGCACTGCATACAGCAGTCCACAGCTGTCATCTCAAATAATTCTCTACTCTGAGGTCTAGTAGGACCTCCAAATGTGGAACCGGAGGCAGAGAGGCTGAGTAACTTGCCCCAAGGCCACACTGCTAGTAAGTGGTAGACTTAAAATCAGATTGGACACAAAGCCTTCCCTAACCGATGCCATGTGAAAACAGATGGGAAGCCTCAGGGGGCACCTTGCCACCTGCCAGACCCCTCCCCAGATATAGGTTAAGGAGGCAGCGGGCATCAGCACAGGACTGGGGCTGCCTGGAATCAGCAGGTGGCAGTGGGCGGGCACACTGTGCAGGCCCTGCCAGCCACCGATAACCCCACCCAAGAGGGCAAACTGCTTGCATCATGGAAAAAACAGTGCTGCCACTGCAGCCACGGAGCACTTCTAGAAGCTGATCCAGAGGGAGAGCATGGCAAAGACAGCTTCCCAGGCGGGAGGCGGAGCCTGATGTGCATCGGTGCATGAAGGGGTAATTCTGGGCCACAGGGGCGGGCCCTTGAGAATAAATAAACTCAGGACTCTGGAATGACTACTCCAAATTGTGGCCCAGCCTGCCACTCCCTATCACACACCCCCCCCCACCCCCACATAGCAATCCTGTCCCTGAAATGAGTTTCTCCTACACGGGAGGGAAGAGCAGCACCCAGTCAGCAAGGAGGCAGGGCTCTGACCACGACTTAGTGTGACCGTGGGCCAGTCCCTCCCTCTCTGCGCCTCAGACTCTGCACATCTATGTAAGTGGGTTGGGCTGATTTCTAAAGACACTGAAACAGAGGCTAAAATGTGGAGGTTTTGTCTTCCATTTCCAGCCCCAAAACAAACTCCCTCTTCTCAGCCCAGGTAACACAAGGTTTAGAACCTCACCATGGCTGCCTCTCCCCAGACTGTAGCTGAGCCTCCCCTGCGGCCTCCCTCCAAGGTGGCAAAGGAAGAGGAGCCTGAGGGCTGTGTATATCATAGGTGGGTTGAGGAGAATTTGGAGAGTTGCGGGGAAGTGGGGGGTGGGGGAAGGCCACAGATGAGAAAACAGAAAGGACAGTAAGGGTCCCCATCGGGTAGATGCCCGATGCATCTACCTCCTCTATCCAGGCAATGGGCACAGAATTCTTCCCCACCCCCGAAAGGGTTAAAGTAAAGTGCTGTGAAAAAGAGTATAAAGACAAAACCAAGGATATGAAGAAGTCCTTTTCTAAGCCAAGTCTATACTGAAGAAGATGACTAATCAAGAATTGACACTCAGTCATGACTGGGGAGAGAGGTGGCCCAGGCTTCAGGGCCACAGGTCTCACCCAGGACTGGAGAGCAGAAAAGTCTGCTCTCCTGGGCCATGGTGGCTGACAGCTGAGGGTAAAAAGACCCTGGATAAGAATTCCTTGGAAAAGCTTCCTGGAATCCCCAAGGCCTGTGGGAGGTGAAGAGGACAATTTCACCAGCACCCTGAGCACCCCACCATTGCCTCCAAAGAAAGCTGTTCTGCTTTTGCGCAGGGTGTGGACACACATACGCTCCAACATCAGGCTTCCTTGGTTTTCCTTATTACTCCAAGACAACCTTTTCCCCAACAAACAAAGACCATTTGTCTTGCTTCTCCTAGGCCATTGAGACCACTGGGAAGCTGAGGGGGTGGGGACACTGGGAGCGGGTGGCCTGTCAGTGGCATAGGCCTTGGAGTGGCCAGGAAGCCAGGCCCTGGGCCAAGGAAAGGGTTCCTGGGCCAGGAAGGAGGCAGAACTGGCTGGGCATCACCACCAGACTGGGCATGCAAACATAGCCCTTGGCCACTACCCTGGGCCTACTTGGTTAAGGTCAGGGAAACTCTCCTGGAGGAAGACCCCAGGGCCTTCCCTCCTCACAGGTGGGGAGCTGGGGGAGTAGCATTGAGCAGTCCTCCCCCAGGCTTGAGCGGAGGCCACACTCACTGGTAGAGAGCCTGGACATCCCTAGAGAAATGGGAGGCTCCCTATGTACACCAAACCTCAGCAAACAAAAGGCAGGCCGACTGGGCTTGGGCAGGGGGTGGGGCTGGCGCCTTGGAGCTACAGCCAGCCCTCTGCTGGCCCAGGAGGGAAGTTCATAGCACCCAAACCTCCTCCACCTGGAAGGCAGAGGGAGTCCTTAGGGCTTTCTCTCTCCACTCCCAAAGGAATACAAACTGGGGGACAGGGTCCCATAAGGCTGGGCTCTCTGCACTCCAGCTCACGCACAGCCAGCTCTCTGGATGGCAAGGGTTACAGCCCCTCCACAGAGGCCCACAGGTGAGACATGCTGGGTTAGGAGTGACATCTCCCTTGGGAGGGGAGGTGGAGGGGGGGAGGGTGGACAGAAGGACATCTGAGACCCTTGAACATTGTCTTCCTGGTCCGTGCTCAAAGCTTCCTCTCAAAGAAAACTTTACTGGAAAGAGCAAACAAAAAAGGCCACAAGTCCTATCCTTAGTAAAGGCCTGACTAAGAAAGAGCCAGTCCTCCGGAATGAAGGGTTGATCTTATCCTTTCCTGATCCCTACCACAAACCATAAAAGAAGGAACTGGGCCTCCCCATCCAACCCCTGGGGAGTTAGGGGACCCCAAGGGGACTCACCTTGGTGGGCTTTCTGCTCTCCTTCTGCCATGGGCGCAGCCTGGGACCACTGAGGACAAAAAAAAGAGTGAGACATGGGCAGGGGGACACAGGCCCAGCCACCCTGCCCCTGCTTCCTCTTCCAGGCCCTCCCAGCCCACCGCCCCTGGCTTCTCCAAGGCTTCTGAGTAGAACTGGGCACCACCAGAGGCTCCTCACAGCACAGAGCTGACCCACCACCCCTGGACTGCTCTAATTAATTCTGAAGCCAAGAAGATAAAGACTGACCAGACACTGGGGGTGGGAAGCTCAAAATGCAGTAGGAAAACACCAGAATGTCCAGCTCCCTTCCCCTTTTCCACAGTTCCCTCTCCCCATTATCACTGGCCCATTGCTGAGCTAAGGGAAGTGAATCCTCTCAGCTCCGGGACTCCCTGGTCCAAAGCCACAGGTAAGTATTAAGGTCAACTAGGACAGTTTGGACTGGGACAGGAAGAAGGACTGGGGGTGAGAAAAATAACATGGTGACCTTCTCCTGCTGACATGACAAATACCAGGGTGAGCTGCTGCTGGGAAGAGAGGGGGTTCAGAGGACCGAAGGGCACCAACCACCCTCCCCCATCCAAACTCTTCAGTCTTCAGGAATATTCAGCAAACCCATGGGTTGCCTGGAGGGTAAAACTTGGGAGGAAGCTCTGGGGGAGGGGAGAGCCCCATTTCTTTCCCTGCACAAATCTCACCAGGGCCAGAATATATCTCCAACATCTCTAGCTTCACGCTCCTCCTACCTTGTTCCCTGGTTCCTCTTCTCTCCCAGATTGAGGGGGTCCCCAAGTCCCTCTCACCTAGGCACCTTCCTCAAAAGCAACCAGGGAAGTCTTTTATGCCTTAGCATTGCCCAGCCCCTAGGGGGCCCCCTGCACTACCTAGGCCTGAGGCCTCCCCCCATCGCTCCCCACCGCCACCAGATCATTCCTCCCCTCCCCAGAAGCTGTGAAGGTCAACAAGTCCAACCATGTGGACCTGACAGCACTGGGCAAAGGCTTCTCCCAGCCATTCTAGAGGGTCTCCAGTTCTCACCAACTGCCCACCCCATCTGCCCCTCTTTCCTGGCAAATCCTGAACAGCGGAGCCGCCCTGTAGCCCACAGAACTGCAGAGAGACTGAGTCGGAGTCTCAGTCTGTCTGGCTCTCTCTCTCCTTCCCACATACCCCAATGCACCCCAGTTCCCCCAGCCTTGCCCCAGGGACAAGGTCAGATAGCCGTTTCTAGACTCCCAGCTGGATAGCCTCCAACTCCAGCTCCCTCAGGGGCCCCCCAAAATCTCCACTTCAGCCCCTCAAGCATCCCCAGGGCACCCCCTGACTTCCCCCTGCCAACATTCTCTCTATGCCTTCTACTCCTCCTGGGCCCCAACTAGAAAAGGGGACAGAAACTTCATACCTCCTCCAAGGCCAGGGGGCACAGGGAGGAGCGGTTCTGTGCGGGGAGGGGCCAGGTGCCCTTCTCTGGGGGCCTCTGAAGGTCACACAGTGGCTAGTCC